GCTGCTGCTGCTGCTGCTGCTGCTGCGGCTGCTGCTCCTACTGCTTCCGCTGCTCCTGCTGCTCCTGCTGCTCCATTTGCTGGCCCGGGCGCCCTCGTCGTCGTCTGCTGCTGCAGCAGCTGCAGCAGCAGCAGCAGCAGCAGCAGGTGAAGCAATAGTTGCTGCTGCGGCTTCTGGGAGGCCCCTCAGGGGGGCCCCCTGGGGCCTCTTTTCTTTGATCGTTGGGTCTTTATTTCTTTTATCTTTTTGCTTCCTCTTGGATCTCCAAGAGGAGCTTTTGAGGATGCTGTTGAAGTGTTTGTACTTGCTGCTGCTGCTGCTGCGTTTGCTGCTGCTGCGCTGCTGCTGCTGCTGCTGCTGCTGCTGTTCCTTAGGCCTGTTGGTGCACAAGATCAGCACGTGGTAAGGAACTTCTTCTTCTTTTGCTGCTTCTCTTTTTCTTTTTTTGTATTTATATCCTGGAATTCGAATTCCTTTTGTGTTTCTGTCGATGTGGATTTCAAGAAAGTCATCATCTGCTTCTGCTGCTGCAGCAGCAGCAGCAGCAGCATCCCTGCGGCGCTCGTAGCTGTGTTCCTGCAGCAGCCGCAGACACAGCTGCGGGCTGCAGCAGCTGCTGCAGTCCTCGACTCTTTTGCGCAGCAGCGCCCGCAGCAGCTTCTCCCTGTCTGCTGCTGCTGGATCGAAAAATCGAGTTCTAGGAAAGGAAGCAAAATAGTGTCCGCTGATGCTGACTTCTGTGCTGCTGACTCCGAAGCGCAGCTGGCTGCTGCTGCAGCAGCAGCCGCCAGCGTGGCCCCCCCCGCTGCTGCTGCTGCTGCTGCTGCTGCTGCTGCTGCTGCTGCTGCTGCTGCTGCTGCTGCAAGGGGGCAGGCCAGCAGCACAAAAGCCCACTCGGGAACAAACGAAAACAGATCCACTTCCAACTTCTTGAGAAATAAAAGGCCCCACAGGTTCTCCGTGAATCCACAAACCCTAAAAGAAAATAAAACAAATTAAAATTAAAAGTTTATTTTTGAGTTAAATTAATTTATTCTAGTGACTACTTTGCAGCAAATAAAAGAAATCAAAAGCTGTAATTAACAGCAAATAAAAGAGGCCAAAAGGAGAAAATAAAAAACAGAAAAAGTTTAAAAGAATTATTTAGAGGCAAATTAAAATGTCCGAAAAGGTTAAACAAAAAACAAATGAAAAGAATTCAAAGGATGAAATGAAAAGCAAATAAAAGCAATTAAATGAAGTAAATAAAAAAGCAAATAAAAGCAGTTGATATGACTAAAATGCTTCCACAAAGGCCCAAAAATGGCGAAAATGAGTTTTTGAAAAGCGAAAAAAAGGAATTAAAAAGAGAAAACAGAAAGAAAACAATTAAAACAAAATAAAAGAGAAAAAAGGACTTAAAAAGAGCTTTTAAAGGAGGAAAAAGATGAAAAAAAGGAAAAACTTTGTGGATTTGACTTGAAAACGCTCGCCAAGTTTGTGGTCTTCCAGCCACTCCCCGTAGCCGTGGGGCCGCCCCTTCGCGTCTCTGCTGCCTTTGAATCGAAGTTGATAAGAAAATTTATTTGAAAAGGATTCGAAAAATGCATCATTTGCATTAACTGCTGCTGCTGCTGCTGCTGCCACCGTCGCAGCAGCAGCAGCAGCAGCAGCAGCAGCGGCCGCAGCGCCGCTCGACGCCGCTACCGCCCACTCCGGCGCTTCAAACGAACTCAGCATTCGCGTTATTGACAAACGCGGGCGGCCTGTTGCCGCTGCTGTTGCTGCTGCTGTTGCTGCTGCTGCTGCTGCTGCAGCTGGCGCGGGGGGCGCGCGGCGCCTGCTGCAGCAGCAGCCCTTGCTGCTGCTGCTGCTGCTGCAGCAGCAGCGACGCAGCTTCGCGTGCAGCTTCAAACAACTCCGCAGCAAACTCCGCACGCAACACCCCACCAACACGCAGTGGCTGTTGCTCAGCAAGGCTGCAACGTCCAACAAACCCTCAACCCTAAACCCTAAACCCTAAACCCTAAATCTTGTTAAACCCTACCCGATAAGACCCTCCTTCAAGCGCAGCACTCCCAATTCCTTAAGCCCCTAAACCCTAAAACCTAAACTCCAAACCCTAAACCCTAAACCCTAAACCCTAAACCCTAACCTGCGCCGTCGTTGTATCTGGAGTAGACGACGCTGGTGGGAGTGGTTTGGATGCGTTTGAGGCTGCCGGAGCAGCAAAAGAAAATAAACCCTTTTGGCAGCACTGCAGCAAGAAGAATGGTTAGGCGCAAGCAGCAGTAGAGGGAGAGCTGCAGCAGCAAAAAGAGCACCAGCAGCAGCTCCAGCAGCCGCTGCTGCTGCTGCTGCTGCTGCCAGCAAAACGAAACCAACACGTAAATGCAAACCCCCAAAATGAAGCAGCAAAGTACTTCAAACCCTAACTGCAGCGGCAGCCGCGCCACCAAGTGCGACAGCAGCAAAGCCACGCACAGAAGAATAAAAACCTGGACGCAGCAAGCAAGCAGCAGCAGCAGCAACAACAATGCGGGTCCTCTGAGCAGCAGCGGCGGCAGCAGCAGCAGCAGCAAACTAGCTGCAAAAGCAGCTAAAAGCAGCATCTACCTCAGCAGCAGCAGCAGCAGCAATCTTAGGAGCAGCAGCAGCAGCAGCAAGCAGCAATCGTAGCAGCAGCAACAGCTGCAGCAGCAGCAAGGCCCGTAAATAAATAGACACACGCAAACAAAGAAAAGGAGAGAAGATGAAAGGAGAGCAAAAGGAAAATGAAGAAGATAAAACAAAAGACAAAAAGAAAACGAAAAAGACAAAAAAGATAAACAGGAAAATAAGAGAAAAGAAACAAAAAAGGAACTTAGAAAAGTCCAGAGACAGCAGAAGAGTCAGAAACGGCAAAATAGGAAAAAGGAAAAGGGAAAAAACGAAAAGTGAAACAAAGAGAAGGCGCAGCAGCAGCAGCAGCATCAACAGCAGCAGCAGCAGGACAAGCCGCAGCAGCAACAGCATCAACAGCAGTACAAGCAG